TTCTTGCCTCGGTAGGCGGCCACCACCTCGGGGTTGTACACCGGCAGCCACTTGTAGGGGTTCACGGTGACGCAGAAGAGGCCCGAGTAGGTCTGTGGGAAATGACAAGGTTGCTCTGTCTGCAGTCACATCATTAATCTGTCTTGGAAATACTGCTTTATATGCCAAGTGAGAGGGACCCAAGTACCGTGTCTGTTCTCCTAAGGTTCAAGGGTCTCATTCCCTGGCTGCCTCCCCCCCCCACAGGCCCTACAACACTATGCTTCCTTCCGTTTGCCCACAAATTCAGCACTAAATAGATGGCTTGTCACATGCACAGTGTCAAATACATCAGAATTCACAACACTAACCAAATGATTAGTCTTAAAATTGTAGTAACCAAATTGCAAAATAGTCTTTAATTGGTTTTGGCTGACATAGTTCATGGACTTAAGTTAGTGAAAAGTGAAAAGAAAAAAGGGGGCGCTCACGTAGATCATCCAGGCTGCGTAACGCTCTTTGAGGTTGTACAGCACTCCAGGCTCGTGCAGGTGGGTCATCATGGCCATGTCCTCGATCTTGTCATACTTGGGAGGGTTCATGGAGAAGATTTGATCTTCCTTAACTGTGACAGTCTGTTAAGAAAAGGTGGAGCCAGTGCATATCAACTAAGTAGCCGAAAAGGATCAAGTATGCCTTCCTACCCCGCTTTGTGTTACTTACAGTCCCAGCGTCGGTCTTCACTGTCACCTTCCCCCCTTCCCTGCTCTGCACTGTACTTTTCACATAGGATTCCTTAGCGTCCACCACAAAGACAGAATTCTTGGCATCAAAGGGCCTATTCTGGGCCTCAATGCGCTCCTTTTCAGACTTTCGGAGGTACGGAGCTGCCTCCCCGAAAACGGCCATCTCAGCGTCGGAGCTCATGGCTGGGGGTTACTGGTAGCAGCACAGCACCGGGGTACCTAGAGGACAGAGACAGAGCCGGACAGTGACCCAGAGTGAGGGTGGACGTTGTCCTGTTGTTTTCACACTCCTGTGCCTCATTGGCCTGGCCCATTTCCTCAGCCCCGCCTGTAGGGATCATGCCTGTGTCCTGTGCAAAGGAGCTGAGAGATCGGATCATGGCTTTGAAAGCCTTAGGTTGGGAGCTTAATTCTTGTGATGTTGTAAGCCTCTGCTCCGTCCTCTGTGCTGTGAGCCTTTGTAGACGAATATCGAAGAGTTTATGTTGCAGTCAATAGCGTTCGGGATGCCACAGGTGTGCTCAGAATCTTTTCTATTTCTACTTGCTTTGCTTTGTTTTCTTTTTCTACTTCTCCTTCCCACTTTTTTTTTTTTGACATTGCAGTGATACAAAGAAATGCAAAATAACTGTTTCCAATGGCTTTACAACCTGAACCTATTTTAAAAACTCAAATATTTAGTAAAATTTTTTTTCCTGGCCCCAAATATTAAAATCAGATGGCTAAATTGGATACAGATATTACTAAAATTGGATGGGTGAAAAGGTACCTTTGTTCATTCAGGACACAGTCCAGATTAAAAACACTTAATAAGCATGAATAAACCCCTACCATAGGAGTAAATTATTTAGGTATCACGTAATAAAGGAAAAAATAAATGCAACAAAAGTTGAAAATCCAACAAATGATTTGTCCTAAGTCAAAATTAAGTCTCATTTATTCTTAAATTGTGTGAAAGTAGTATTATCAAAACAAAATATAACTTTAAAAGGTTCTTGGAGAAAGACATTTGAATGAAAAACATATCATAGTGTTTGTATATTTTTAGTTTATAATTTGTTTTTAATTGGATTTCAGGATAATGGTTGTTTATCTGATTCTTATTATTTCAGATCTCTCTCTCTTTCTTCCTCCTTTTTTAAAAAAAGTATCAATTCTCTAAGTATCTCTTCTGAAGTCAATAGCCAGTATAAAATTTCAAGCCAAAATGAACTTTCAAATTTTTTCCACTGACACGTGATTACGAGATGGCAGAGAATTTCTCTGACGGCAAGGACAGGACGAGTGACCAGTGACAGAGGGTGACTTCTGTGGAGGGGGAGGGGGGCTGGATTGTGGAAAGCAGTGTCTCTCTTGTCACAACAGCGATAACAGCAGCCTCAACTTCAGGCTTTTTGGAAGGAGTCTTGGTATTTTGTCATCAGCATTAAACTTCCTCTCGACTGTTAGATTTGGAATTTGCCACATACTCTGTCTCTAAAATCAATCTAGTTCACACCTTTGAAAACCTCTTGATGATACAGTGCAATTTAGACATACTTCCAGGGGACAGATACTGAATATTTAACCTCAGTTTTTTTCTTCAAAGGAAAAATGTTATCCTGTTAACTTTATTTTTTGTTTCTGTGTTTTTACACAAGGCCATTTTGCATTAACAGCACACTACTATGGAGAGATTACTGTAGTACAGTGCATTCACCAAACACAGAAAGGATGCCACCCTTCCCACCTCATGTCTGAGATCATTGGTTTCCCCACCTGTGGGTCACAAGCCCCCAAGGATCCTCAGGGTTGTTGCAGGGGCTCCCGAATCCACCTGCCTCAAGTTTGAGCAAGCCACATCCTGAAACAAGTCTAAGTCACTATAGTTTCTTACTAAATATAAACTAATTAGGAATTTATCAAAAGTATAGCAGGTTTTCATCATTATGTGTGTTTTTAACAGAATACTAAAAGTACAGGTCCCAACATACGGAGTTGGGGAGAAGGTCCGTTGAATGTTTTGATTGTATGGAGGAGTACTTGGAAGCCACCATCTGAGATTATAGATGCAAGAGCTGCAGGTACAGAAAGGTGAAGGGTCATGCAGTGTGACAGAAGTGTAAGTGGTGGGCCTGGGACACAAACCCTGTTCTTGCAAATCCAGGTTCAGTGCTGATTCCACTGCGAGATCTGGAAAGCCACCTGGCTTCCCTCAGGTAGCCAGAGTCCATGGAAAGCCTGGATTGCCACCTGGAAATGTTGCCTACCTGATCAACACATTGTTGATTTTACCAAACAGTCTCTGTAATACATCTTCACTGGTCAAGTAGGACTAGCGGTTCACACTGAATATTACATTGTAATTGTTGCATTGTTTCTGAAGGGCTAACAACATGTGGAAGAGACGAGTCATTAAATTTTGTGTTGTTAAATGGTCTGAAAAGTCAATATTTTATGAGAAGCCATTTTTAAAGAACAGCTGCTCCTGTATTACCTTATTCCTATTACTAGCCCAGGAAATAAGATGGTATAGTTTTTTTAAGACTTAGCAGTAAATATCCCTTTGTCCTTTAGAGTGTAGTAATAAATCACTCTTACCTCTCGTGTTACCAGATAAAGAAGGTGGCAGGCCCGAAGCAGACAATTGCTGTTGAGAGAAAAAAAAACAAGAGAATGCAGATTCTTCTTTTTCCCAGTTAGTTGCAAAATCCTAGTAACTATATCGTGTACCATGTCATCCTTAGGAGTGATGGAAAGAAAAATTAAAATTTGGGAATAGGAGTCATTTCCCTTAAGTTGAATGATCATTATCAGCAGGAATGTAGAACTAGCCAAGTGTTCATCAGGTATACATACCTTGAGGAATTTTGAGGAAGGACAGGCGGAGGCATGTGGGCTCCACTTTTATAGAGACCGTTGTGCAAGCACAGCAACCACCTCAGCTGTCCCTGCTGAAACCTACTTGGCAAAATCTTTTCTGGCAATCTCTTTGCACAATATTCACTGACTGTGGCTGTGAATGGATATAATTAGAAATATTTCTTGTCACCTATAAATAATTTGACGGAGGATAATCTAGGGTTCTTTATAGGCATTTGATAGGGGATGTGGATTCAGGGCTTCTAAGGCTGTTTTGCCAGCTTTGCTGTTACATCATTCACCACGGAATTCAAAGCCAGGTTCCCACTTACTCTCCTGCCTGAAACGTTGGTCTGACAGAACGAGCTGGACACGAGGAGTTCAGGACTAATTGATGTGTTAGTGCTCAAAGCCATTAAGGAGCTGGGATGAATTTTAGATCTGACACTATGATTGGAAGCAGCAAGTGATGGATATTAAGCAGAAAATTCCTAGTCAGGGTCCAGATTTTACAAACACTATCGATAGATTCTTCTCAAGTCTGAAAAGCTAAACATGATGGAGAAAGTGAGTTGTCAGGGTAGGCAGTGGTGGTAGACCAGTGGGGGAGTCGGGAGGGATTTAGAACAGATACAAACACTTCTGTTCTTTGCTGAAGGACTTGCCATGGGTATCTCCAGCTCATTTGTTTTCACTGAGGGGACTCCGGGATGCTGTGTGATGCTCCATGCTTGTTTCCACTGCGTAATGGAAGGAGACACAGACATGCATTCTTAGTTCATGGGCAAATCCTCATGACTAGCTGTAGCTCTAATGAGGTGGGTACTACATACTTTTATTTAAGGTGGGAGGAAAGATGTACCACAAAACTTGTGGATGGAGAAGATGAGTGGGCATCCCATGTGCCCATGGTACTTGTCAGTTGGGTTTTGGTGGCTTCACCACATTCACAACACAGCTGTTGCTGAATATGATGGGAAATCTAAGTGTGTCCGTAAGACCTGATGTGATATTTTTTACTGTCATCTGCCAACTTAAATTACTGATTAATGTGATCACTTTTTATATGCATCCTATTGACTTAGAATTTTAACACATTAACAGATTGAATCTTTTATACTTTTTACTTCTTTTGAAACAATACTATGGAATAGGCAGACATTATTTTTATTTTTTCAAGTCTCTGTGGAAATGACTCTGAGAAGGTTAGTGATTTATGCAAAATGCTGGGCTCTGAGCCAGAAAGAGGAAAGGTCTTCTGATTTTTCTCTAGTTGAGATTTTCACAACTCATTTTTACTTCTTTTGGAACTTGATATCTAAATTAGAGACATAATAAATATTATCAAACACACGCACTACTTTTAGAACTGAAAGATAAAAGAAGACACTATGGGTAAGACCAAGACACACAGGCTGAGTTACACAGCTGTAGCTAGTGAGGACCGTACCTAAAACTCAGAGCTTTGACCAGTTGCTGAGCCCGACTGATCATCAGATCTTGAAAGCTCTAAAACAGGGCATCAGTGTTCTGGTGGAGACTGGCATGGACCACCAGGAGTGGGTCAGAGAACCTTGCAGAGCTTGGACAGAAGAACAGCAGTGCTGAATGAGGGAGAAGCATTTCCCTTACACCTGCTTCTCTAGGGACTCTCTGAATAGGAACTACAGGAAAGCAGAGCTAAGCCTTCTTGTATTTGTGTGGTTCTTTATGATTTGGATGCTGTATTTATGCAGTCTGGAGAAAAGCTTCTCTCTAGCATTTCCCCCCATTATCCTTGCAGATTTGGAAATGTTATAGGCTTCGGTGATCTTGTACTTCTTCATCTACGAAAAACATAAATTTAGTGAAAACCTGATATTCCCTTTACCTTGTACAGTTGAATGAATTAAATTAGGCTATACAAATAATCTGAAGTATAAAATGCCTTTATAAGTTATAGATGTATTATAGATGATTATTGGAGATTATGTATAATCACTTAATTCATATATATGTAAATTACATATGTGTACATATACATAAAATGCTTATAACAGTGTTACAAGGGGCTGCTGAAACAGACATTTTGTAATTATAGGTAAAGTTCACAAAGGTATGCTGACATTTTCCTGAGTATACACTGGGTGTCAAAATGGTAGTAAAGGGCTGCAAAGAGATGGTGGTTAAGAAATGTCAGTGAGCAAGATTATTTTTATTGTTATGTCTTCTAAATTATTATTATTATTTTTTAAAGATTTTATTTATTTTTTGACAGAGAGACAGAGAGGGAACAGAAGCAGGGGGAGTGGGAGAGGGAGAAGCAGGCTTCCCGCTGAGCAAGGAGCCTGATGTGGGGCT